GCCCTTTCCTCCTTGGTCCCTTCCAATCAGTGTTGTGGCATCTCCAGAGCCCTCTCCTCCTTGGTCCCTTCCAATCAGTCTTGACTTTATTATTGGTACCAGGATCTGTTGGGTCACAGTCATTACTAGCGCATATGATGGGACTTTCCGTGAGAGATGCTGGCCAAGATTAAACTTGAGAGGCACAGCACAAGGTGATGAGCAGAATGACCTTCATTCTGATGGCAAGCTGTGAGTTCAGGTAAGAAGTAATGTGGCATGGTTCTAGTGTGGGAACCATACATTCGGTCCTGTTTGCTTACAACGCTGGCAGCACAGTGGCTAAATGGTTAGCACTTCCGTCTGGCAGTACTTGGGTCGTTGGTTCAAATCCAGCCACGGCACCTCCTGCCTTGAGTTTGCATGTTCTCCCTGTGCCTGTGTGTTTCCTCCGGGTACTCTAGTTTCCTCCCACACTCCAAAGACATGCTGGTAGGTTAATTGGATCCATTCTAAATTGTCCCTCGTATGTGTATGTATGAATGTGAGTTAGGGACCTTAGATTGTACACCCCTTGAGGGTTAGGGACTGATGTGAATGTACAATATATATGTAAAGCGCTGGCTAAATTGACGGCGCTATATAAGTATATGAAATAAACACGCAATTCTGTGCATGGCTGAACTTTGCAGTTTTTTTTTTTTTTTTCTTCAAAGCCTCTGTACTCTCCATACGTGCCTGTCACCCTCAAATGACTAAAATGTTATCTTTCCCTTACCTTTTTTTATAGAAGTTTTACCATATTTCTATTTTCGGGTGGGTTTGATTGACAGCACATACTGTATATATTGAATCAATGTTATCACTTTCTATATTCATTTTTTATATTAAAATACCTTTTTTTTTTTTAATTTATTTATTTTTTTATTTAATATTTTATTTTGTTATTTTACGCCAAGACACACGTGTCAAACTGGCAGTGCTCCATCTGTGGCCAAACTACAAGTCCCACGACGCATTTCAAGAATGACAGTTAAGAGTGACTCCCAAAGGCATGATGGGACTTGTAGTTTCACTGGAGCGCTTCCAGTTTGACACCCCTGCCCTAAGATATGGTTTGAAATCATGCAGAGATCTATTTCTTTTATACGGGAAAATATAATTGAACTATTTTTACATTTGTTTTTAAATGTTACGAATGGTGTATAGCTGCATGGCAGATGCTTGTTCAACCATTTCACTTTGCACTGTTCATAAGAAAAAAGGACACATCTGATTACTGTGTGAATGTGTAATAGTTCCAGTATGTCATAATAAGGGGGTGTCTGCATTTGTGAGTGCTGGCACTTTATTTTTTTATTTTATTAGGAAGTGTATTATTTTGTGCTTGGTGTCTTTCATAAAACTGTAATCCCAGGAATTCTCCCGAGATTACAGCCTTGTTTTCACAGTTCTCAAGCATTCTGAGCATTTGTAGATGGCTTCCCTTCTCCTGAAGAACAGCGACCTACAAAGCTTCATAAACCAGAACTCCGATTAGAACGTGTTTACTGGCAATCTGATCAGCGGTGAGTTATTGCTGCTTCTTAAATGGACACCTCTATGGAAAAATACCAAAGGTTTCTCAGTGGCTGAGTCCTTGAAATCTCTTTACCACAGAGTCACAGGAGGGATCCTTTCAAGGATCCACACCCATAGCCCTACAGTGGAACCCCCATGTTTGAATTTAAAATGGAGGGGTACACTATGATCAATATTAGATTCCTCGATCGGTTTTCTTCTGTGTTTACCAAAACAGGCCCTAACAGTGCGTATAGTACAACCCTAATAGAACCCCCTAGGGACCCGTGAGACCTGAGATGACATCTGAGAAACCAGAATAGGAGAATTCTCAATCGGATAAAGTTTTTTCCAGTACTATCTTAAATGCTTTTGTCTGGGATTTACACATGGGCTCATCTTACACTGGGTTTTCTCACACTGGTACAGTCGATTAAGTGGCAGAAAGTCACAAAGAAATGACAAGTGGACTTTCTTGGTACTGTACGCATGCTGGGGGCTATGCTGTTAGTATTGGGAGCTCTTCTCAGACAAGCTGAGGTTTCTTAAGGTCCTGATGTGGGATCTTTTTGTAGCATGCTCCTGTGGCATAAAATGTATCCTCTCCCTGTAATGTGAAATAACACTGGGTGTTGAATATAATGTCAAACCTATCCAATGATCTGATTTGGAACTCTTAAGGTGTGTGGAAGACTATTCTTCATAAACCTGTTGAATTAGATGGGGTAAAAGCCTTTTTCTAATCTTCCTCTCAAAATAAGCCCCTGAGAGGAATAGTCTTCATCCAAGGTACAGTTTTTATAGAGTCTAGTGAATTGGCCTTATGTGAACATTCTTTATCCAAGCTGGATAGAGGCAACTATGATGGTACAGGTATGAATTACCTGATGTGGACTTGAAGCAAATTTTGGAGATAATGGATCTTCTTTTGATCTAAAAATACCAAAAAGTGGCGCTGGGCATGTGTGGAAAAAGAGGCCCAATTAATTGTCTTTAGAGTACTCAACAAAGAAACTGGAGGAGAGCCATTCTTTATGATGATTATATTGTCTATGTATTTGCCGTAAAAAAAAAATATGGGAAACAAAAGGGTTTTTTCTCCAGATATGGAGCTCTTTCCACCAACCCATGAGTAAGGTTGGTAAACCTGGTGCAAAAGACACCATTGGCGGTGCCCCATATCTGGGGAAAATAGTTGTGCTTCAGGCAAAACTTTTAGTGCCTTCCATGATGAACTGGACCTGGGAAGGATGGAGATAGGTTTCATGAACCAAAAAGTGACCTGGAGCAGTGATGCCAACCTCATGTGTCATTGGTGTAATAAAGAATTTACATCCAATGAAAACCAACAGAACAATGGCTCCCAACGGTAATGTCAGAGTACATCAAGGAGTTGTAATGAATAATGTATAATGGTAAGGACTGAACAGTAGACTGTAGAACATAACTAATACATTGTGATAACCCATGGACGATACTCTGCATGGAGGCCACGATTTTCCTTCCTGGTGGAAAAATAGAATTGTGTACTTTTGGAAGATGGTAAAATTATGGATGCTTGAAGTAGTCTTTGTACAGAAAAGAATATTGCCTTGTGCTGACATTGACTACCCCAGGGTCAAATAGACTTTTGAGCTCTCTGTTGGTATTTTGCTCAAGTTGTCCTTTTGGTGAGTTTGAGATAATTGGTTTGGTCAGAAGCTGGTATGCTTCAGAGATGTAATAAGATCTGTCTTGTAAAACAATGCCACCCCCTTATCTTATGATCCCTTAGCATATGTGGGTTTTTTTTTTGTTTTTGTATCTAGGTTGTGTGGTAATCAGGTGTTTGGTGTTTTTTAAATATCCTCACCTCTTCTGCCTTGTCTCGTTTTTTTTTTTTTTTTTCTCCCATGAGGCAACAAGGTGGGGTTAGCCCTAAAACAAAAAAAAATTCTTTAAGACAGAAAGTAAAATATCTTGTAGTAATGGGCATGGTACTGCTGAAATTGGCTCAGTCCGCCATGTCCAGTGGATACCTCATTCACAGGAGGGGTGCTCTATGCACCACAAAGGGCACACAATGTGCTTCTAACAAGAAACAGTCTGGATGACGTGCATGTACATGATCCAGCTTGGCCGTGTCACCTACCCACAGTAAATGCACTGTGGCGGCAAGCAATAATAGTTATTTATTTTTATCTACCACCTTTATCAAACAGGATTAGGATATTGCTGCCCTTATTTGCTGCTTCTACACAATGCACATTTTCTGCACCTGCTGTTTTTTTTTTTTTTTTTTTTTTGGGAGAAGCAGCATATTTATTGAAAATCATACATAACACACGGTAAAGGTCTTTACATTGTGTGCCCCCAATAGAAAGGAAAGAGAAAGGGTCGTCCAGCCTGAATCATCTGCCCCAGGCAGGAGTTAATACAGGGTTCAAGGAGAGGAAAGAAGAAACCTCTTGTGTATATACAAGAGGTTCATCCCAGCCGTAAAGCAGACCTGTATACTCACTAGTAAGGGAGACCTTTTACTTATCTTAGAAAGGAAGGAGGTGATACTGGTGGGTGGTCAGAGAGAAGACTATCCAAGATTCTCTTTAGAAAAGTTCTGCTAGAAATATTTAGGTAGTTTTAGAAGCACAGAAAAGCATTAGCTGGTGATGACAGGTCCTCTTTTTAGCGGCGGTGGTGCAGAAAGGTGGAATGGAGTTATGACGAAGTATAGGATGGACATGGTGGGGACCTTTTTTTTTACATTTTAGTCCAGCAGCCATCAGGAGAATGGGGGGGAGAATCTTCAGGAACAGGTTCTTGTCATGACTTTCGTAATCTTCCTCCTCCATTGAGGTGGCCCAAGTCATGTTTGTCGCTGGCTTCTGTGGGTTTTGGACTCTGTCTGTTTTTGGTGCCCTCAGGCGTTTCAACATGGTGGTCACCCCCCCCACTTCTTTTTTTTTTTTTTTTTTTTCCCATTTGGCTTTCGTGAAGTTCTTCTCATTCTGCGCACACATTACGTCCTTGATGTTTTTATCGGATGCAGCGTTCCCTGAAATCCATTCATGGCTAATGGCGTCTGCCACCATCACCCTCTGGTCCTGGTTCACCTCCATCAGACGGGACACAATCTTTGGCTGCTAGAGAAATATCATCCTGATTATGGAGAGTCAAACTCATCACCATGTAGAATCTTTCTGAGCAGGTTCTTGCCGTGACTTTCATAATCTTCCTCCTCCATCTCATCATAGAATGGAGAGTTCCCAGAGAGTTGTTTGTACAAAATAACTTTGATGGCCCTGCATTCCACAGGCCGACCATATCGCTGGCGTGTGACTACCTCTGGTGCCAGGTACTCAGGTGTGCCACAAGGCTCTTTGATGAGGCTTGTCTCCAACTTGAGGTTTCTTTGCACAATACACAGTGAGTGAAGATGGGCCACAGCCTCCAGGACCTGCCAGATGACGTTACTTGTGTCCCTCTGAGTAATAACCTTGATCCAGGATCCAGTCAAACACTTCCTGGCCTGAAGCTAGCTCCAGGAAGATAAAATATTCCTGTGTCTCAAACACATTGACCAGCTGCAGGATGTTGGGGTGCTTCACCATTTTGAGGATTTTGATTTCATTTTTGGCCGCCTTCTAGACTTTACGCCCATCTCTCTTCAGGAAACATTTTCAGGTGTAGAGTTTTCCTGATGATTAGTCTTTTTTTGTCTCTGAAGACTTCGCAGAATTCCTCTGCCTTGATGAGCTGGGCAAAGTCATGTTTGTCACTGACTTCTGTGGGTTGATTATAATCCTTTTTGTCACCTAACATCTCACACATCCAAACGGCATTGCCTGCCTTAGTGTCGTGGGGTCGGTGCCGGAAGGAGTGGCTGAGTGTGGTGCAATGCTGTGCTGACCCATCGGTCGATGGATCCACTCACCCAGCGATCAGGACCAATTCTGCTGGATATCCTTTAAAAAAAAAAAAAAAAGCAGCATGTTTATTGAAAGAAAAGCATACAACACACATGGTAAAGGTCTGTACATTATGTTCCCTGATACAAAGGGGGGAAAAAAAGGGGGCAACCAGCCTGAATCATCTACCCAGGCAGGAGTAAATACAGGGTTCACAAAGAGGAAAGAATCCCAGCTGTAAAGTGGACCTGTATACTCACTAGTAAGGGGGACCTCTACTTATTAATTATCTTAGAAAGGAAGGAGGTATTACTTGGGGGGTGACCAGAGAAAAGACTATCGAAGGCTCTCTTTGGAAACGTTTGTGCAGGAAATATTTAGGTAGTTTTTAGAAGCACAGAAAAGCATTAGCTGGTGATGACAGATCCTCTTTAGCGGTGGTGGTGTAGAAAGGTGGAATAGAGTTATGACAAAGTGTAGGATGGATATGGTGGTAATCTTGACTTTTAGTCCAGCAGCTATCAGGAGATATGGGGGGGAGGGGGATGCTTTAACAGTGCAGTAGATCTCTAGTAACTAAAGGGTTAGAGTAATGCTTGGCCGTAGCGGTGGAAGGGTTGATGGGGCGATGGGATTCTCTAGCGGGACAGTAGTGGCATGACTGCTCCACCATCTGCTATTGACCCATCTGGTGGAGGAAAATGTTAATGACATGACAGGCCATTGCGGAGGAGGGAGAGGAAGGGTTAATGATGGTATGCTCTGCGGTGAATAGGGTTATGGTGGTTAAGCTGGTCCTCCCTCCGGTGCCATCAGGGGAGGGGCTGAGCGGGCATGGCGTATATTCAGCTTGGGTGCTGGCAGGTGTTGGTGCGGGGGTAGTCAGAGCAAAGACAAAAAAGTGCACCAACCTTGCGCATTACCTCAGTAAACCAATTTTATTGAATACAAAAATATACTCACAAACGAAATATTTCAAGCATGTCAGTTCTCAAAGGAACTATGGAATGCAAAGACCTGCGCAAGTCCCGTCATAGGGGTGGACACTCAGGGATCAGCTGACGCATTTTGAAGGATGTTTCTTCATCAAGCTCTGCTCCATAGTTCCTTTGAGAACTGACATGCTTGAAATACTTCTTTGTGAGTATGTTTGTATTCAATAAAATTGGTTTACTGAGGTAATGCGCAAGGTTGGTGTGCTTCTTTTTTGTCTTTGCTTCACAGTATTGGTCGCGCTTCCCCAGCCTTGTTTGGAGCTGCACAACCCCATATGCAAAGGTGGTCGAATTTTTTCAAGTTCTGGTTCCATCTATCCACCTCCTTTGGGTCTTAGAGCGCAGGAGAGTTTGTTTCTAGTGGGAGTAGAGCTGGTGTCTGTTTGTCAATGGTGGAGTGGGAGTAGTCAGGCCTGGTGTCTGTTCGCTGTCAATGGATGGAGATGGAGTCTTGGACTAGGCTGTTCATGTGCCCTCAGGGGCTTCATCACGATGGTCACCCCCACAGCTTTCTTCCATTTTGGCTTTCGCAAAGTTCTCAATCTGCGCGTACACGCTGACCTTGATGGGTTTTTTTTTTTTTTTTAAATTCTCGGTCCCTGAAATCCATTCATTGGCTAATGGCATCTGCTGCTGTTGCCCTCTGGTCCTGGTCCACCGCCATCAGACGGGACACCATATCGCTGGTGTGTGACCACCTCTGGGGCCAGGTACTCAGGTGTGCCACAAGGCTCTTTGATGAGGCTTGTCTCCACTTTAGCGAAATGATAGTCACTGATGACTATTTTGGAATTCTTCAAATGGTTATAATACAAGAAGTTCTCCAACTTGGAGGTTCCTGTGCACAATGCACAGTGAGTGAAGATAGGCCACAGCCTCCAGGACCTGCTGGATGATGTTACTTGTGTCCCTTCTCTGAGTTATAACCCTGATCCAGTCCAACACTTCCTGGCCTTAAGATAGCTCCAGGAAGATGAAATATTCCTCCTTTTGTCTCAAGCACATTGACCAGCTGCAGGATGTTGGGATGCTTCACCATTTTGAGGATGTTGATCTCATTTTTCAGACTTTGCGCCCATCTCTTTGAAGATGTAGAGTTTTTCCTGAATTGTATTTGGCTTTCAAGACTTCACAGAATTCCTCTGTCTTGATGTGCTGGCCAGAGTCATGTTTGGCGCTGACTTCTGTGGGTTGATTGTAATCCTTTTTGTCACCTAATGTCACACATCCAAACAGCATTGCCCGCCTTAGTGTTGTGGGGTCGGTGCTGGGAAGAATGGCTGAGTGTGTTGCTATGCTGTGCTGCCCCTGATAAGCCGATGTCTTGCTCACCCAGCAATCAGGACCAATCCTGCTGGTTATCTGTCGCCTGTTGTGGTGGAGGGAGAAGGGTTAATGATGGTATGCTCTGCGCTGAATAGGGTTATGACGGTTAAGCTGGTTCTCACCCAGTGCTGTCAGTGGAGGGGCTGAGCAGGGATGGTGTTTCTTCAGCTAGGGTGCTGGCAGGTGACGATGCAGGGGCAGTCAGCCTGTCCATGCATGGAGAATGGGGTCTTGGACTAGGTCTCTTCAAGTGCCCTCAGACTCTTCATCATAGTGGTCACCCCCACAGCTTTTTTTTCCATTTTGCTTTCGCAAAGTTCTTCTCAAGCTGCGCACACACTCCGTCCTTTGTTTTTATCGGATGCTCATTCCCTGAAATCCATTCATGGCTAATGGCGTCCGCCGCTGTTGCCCTCTGGTCCTGGTCCACCTCTTCCAAATCTTTTGGCTGCTAGAGAAATTTCATCCTAATATGGAGAGTCAAACTCATAATCGCCATGTAGGGATCTTCCAGAACAGATTCTTGTCCTGACTTTTGTAATCTTCCTCCTCCATCTCATCGTAGAATGGAGGGTTCCCAGAGCGTAGTATGTACATAATAACTCTGATGGCCCAGCAGTCCACAGGCTGACCATATCGATTGTGTACAACCACCTCTGGGGCCAGGTACTCCAGTTTGCCACAAGGCTCTTTGATAAGGCTTGTCTCCCATTTATCTAAATGAAAGTCACTGACTATTTTGGAATTCTTCAAATGGTTATAATACAAGTAGTTCTCCAACTTGCGGTTCCTGTGCACAATACACATTGAGTGAAGATAGGCCACAGCCTCCAGGACCTGCTGGATGATGATAGGCCACAGCCTCCAGGACCTGCTGGATGATGTTACTTGTGTCCTCTGAGTAAAAACCCTGATCCAGGCAAAACTTCCTGGCCTGAAGCTAGCTCGAGGAAGATGAAATATTCCTTTGTCTCAAGCACATTGACCAGCTGCAGGATGTTGGGGTGCTTCACCATTTTGAGGATGTTGATCTCATTTTTGGCCGCCTTCCGGACTTTGCACTCCTCTCTCTTCAGGAAACGTTTGCAGGTGTAGTGTTTTCCTGATGATTTGTCTGTGTCTCTGAAGACTTCATGAGCTGGTTCAAGTCATGTTTGTCTCTGACTTCTGTGGGATTGATTGTAATCTTATTTGTCACCTAACATCACACATCCAAAGGGCATTACCTGCCTTAGTGTCATGGGGTGGTGCCCGGAAGAATAGCTGAGTGTGGTGTGATGCTGCACTGCCCTTGATCGGCCGATGTCTCCACTCACCCAACAATCAGGACCGATCCTGCTGGTTCTCAACACTGGATAAAAAAAAAGTTTCAATAAGTTTATAAATGTATAATTAATTTTATATTGACCAAAAAATTACTGTGAGCATCTGAATCGCGTTTCTCTGAGCAATTCACCAACTATGTCGGGCGCCAGGCACCCCTTTTAATTGTTTGTCATAGCTGATAAAGGTTACTTTTTTCTTTGGATTTTTATGATTTTTACGCCATACCTGCATGTATCAATGTTGAGATCAGCTGCAGCTTTAACCTGCAGGACAATAAAATTCCAAATGTGTTTTTATTATACAGGATTTATATAGCGGCAACAGTTTGTTCAGCGCTATACAATATAACTGCCACTAGATCTCCAGAATCACTCCAGAGAGTCCAGTGTTATCTCCAGACTCATTTTCTCCTTGGTCCTTTCCAATCAGTCCTCTGTCATCTCCAGAGCCCTCTCCTCCTTGGTCCTTTCCAATCAGTCCTCTGTCATCTTCAGAGCCCTCTCCTCCTTGGTCCTTTCCAATCAGTCCTCTGTCATCTTCCAGAGCCCTCTCCTCCTTGGTCCTTTCCAATCAGTCCTCTGTCATCTCCAGCCCTCTCCTCCTTGGTCCTTTCCAGTCTGTCCATCTCCAGAACCATGTTCTTCTATGACTTCATTATTGGTACCAGGATCTGTTGGGTCACAGTCATTACTAGCGCATATGATGGGACTTTCTGTGGGAGATGCTGGCCAAGATTAAACTTGAGGGAGGCAGCACAAGGCGATGAGCAGAATGACCTTCATTCTGATGGCAAGCTGTGGTTCAGGTAAGTAATGTGGCATGGTTCTAGAGCGGGAACCATACATTCGGTCCTGTTTGCTTACAACCCATGAAACTAACACGCAATTCTGTGCATGGCTGAACTTTGCAGTTCTTTTTGTTCTTCAAAGCCTCTGTACTCTCCATACGTGCCTGTCACCCTCAAGTGACTAAAATGCTATCTTTCCCTTTACCTTTTTTATAGAAGTTTACCATGTTTCTATCTTCGGGTGGATTTGATTGACAGCACATACTGTA